TCCAGGGTTGAATTGACTATGTTGCTATTGTTCTCATGGTACTTTGTAGGGATTACTATTGTTGTATCGTCTGCGTAGAGTATGGTTCTCAGATTATGATTCAGTGACTCTGGTAGGCTATTAATATTAATTAGAAAGTACAAAGGACCCAATATCGATCCCTGTGGGACTCCTACCACTGTTTTCCTTAAGGATGATTTGACGGTTCCAATTGTGTTGTGGTGCTGATAGCCTAATTCGACAAATTGTTGCCTGTCATCAACGTAATTTTTAACCCAATTTAGAGCTAGGTCCGTGATATTGAACTGTTTAAGTTTCTGAAGAAAAATTTCCCAGTTTAAATTGTCAAAGGCTTTTTGTAGGTCCAAAAAAAGGCTGAAGCGCTACACTTATTTTCCCACAGATCATTTATGGTTTTGCATAGATGAGCTATTGCCGTGTTGGTACTATGGCCCTTTCTGAAACCGTGTTGGCATGGAGATAAAAGATTGTAGTTTTGAAGGTGGGTAGATAATTAGTTATAAATAGCACGCTCAAGCAGTTTAGGTATGACTGGCAGATTTGAAATTGGTCTATAATTATTGGGTTCATGTTTGTCGCCCTTTTTAAAGACAGGGTAGATTTTTGCTATCTTTAACTTTTCAGGCACTGTGGCTTGTTGAATCTATTGATAATATGGCAAACAGGCTTTAACAGCTCTTCCTTGCAGAACCTGAGAATCTTCCCTGTGACATCATCAAATCCCGCAGAGTTGTTAGGCTTCATACTGCTACAGAGTTTATCCAATTCCCGTTCAGATATGTAGTTGAAAGAAGACAACGGTGGCACTCCTCTGTCAGGCTCCATCAGTTTGATGTCATTATCTGGTTGGTTGGTGGTATGATCCAGGGTAGGCTGTGTATATAATTTGTCAAAAATATTGCTCACGTAATAAGGGTCATGTATTAGTTTGCCATGTTGCATTAGGCTAATTTTGTTTTTGTTGTGTAGTGCTCTTCTTTCTCTCATTATTTACTATATTCCATATAGCTTTAGTTCTGTTGTCAGCCTGAGCTATTTTTTCTGCAGTGTGGCGTCTTTGTGTACTATTAACTTGTTGGTCATAAGCTCTCTTTATGTCATGGAAACCTTCCTTGTCGTCCTCCGCACCAGTGAGCAGATATTTGTTGTGGGCAATTTGCAGAGCTGCTTTTTGTTCCAAGATGTCCTTGTCCCAAAAAATATTTTTGTTTGTTGTTGAGACCCTCTTTGGTTCCTTAGGCATAATGTGGTCCATGTTGAGTCGAAGAATCTTTAGAAAGTTGTTATATTTTTCATCCACAGATCTTAATGCATAAACAGGCGCCCAATCTACTGTACTTAGTTTTTCTTTTAACTCTTTCAATTTAGCCTTAGAAAAATTTCTTGAGTATTTATAGGTAGCCGGCTGGTGTTTATTCTTATTTTTAACTTTACATATTAAATAGTGGTGATCCGAAAAACTGGTCAGGTGTGCTTGTACAGATATTTCATCTGGTTGTAAGTTGGTGTAACATCCGTCAATACTAGAGAGAGATGTTGGAGTTTTTCTCGTCACAGGAAAATCATATGCGTAACATCCATATTCAGTCAACAGGCATAGGAGATTTTTTACACCCCGATTGTCAGGCTTCAAAATGTCAAAATTGGCGTCGCCTAGGATCAGGCAGTAGTTATTTTTCGTGGTCTAATTCTGTAAGACGTGTGCCAGTTTTGTTAGAAAATCCTCTTCAGTAGTACTATCAGGTGATCTGTATGTACCAATCAGTATGATGTTATAGAATTTATATTTTAGTTTGATTGCAACAGTCTCAAATTTTTGTTCTTCTGCCGTAGGCCTACACAGTTCCTGCAGTTTAATTTCTTCTGAGTCGATATGGAAATTATTTCTTAGGTAAATTGCAACACCACCCCACATGTGATGGATTCTACAGAATTGTGATGCCAGCACATATCCTTCAATATTTGTAACTGCAAGCTCTTCACTCTTTAGACCGTGTTCCGACAGGATCAAGATGTCAGGCCTAATTTTGTCTACCTCTATAAGCAATCTGTCAATTTTGTTTTGTAGTCCTCGCTGTATGTTGAGATGGAAGATAGTTAATGGTTTATGGAAATTAATATTGTGCTGTGTGTTGGAAACTTGTCGGGTATGTTGATTGTTAGGCTGGTGGGGGGTGGGTTTTGGCCGGTGTGCTGTGTCGTCTGCGGGGAAGTCGGTGACTTGGAGTTTGGGTGCTCTTGATTGTCATCATGGCTCTCATCTACGTCCTCTGCAACAGGCCCGATGATGTCAATGATGCGTCTGGTCAGGATCTCCGCCCCTTCGCTGTTTAGATGGACTCCGTCCCACTTCAGATGTTCTTCTCCTAATAGGCTTGTGTTGTCAATAAAATTTATTTTCAGCTGCGCACACATGAATCGTAGTGCATTGTTGGTTTCCTCTATAAATCTACGGTAACTGTCATATCTATATGGTATTGACATCACATACCAGTCCGTCCCTGGGTGGAGTTTCTTGTATGCCTCAATAGTCAGCCATAGTGGACGCATTACATGGTTCGGGGTTCTTGCTGATGACATGTTGTTAGAACCTAAATTTACAATAACCTTTCTTGGAAGTGTCCTTTGCTCAGAGAGGAATCTACTGAAATCCGGTATTCTTCCGCCGGGGATTACTTTCACATTTGCCTTGTGCTCTGACTTACTGATAATTCTAGAGGTGTCAGTCAATAACGAGTCACCTATAATTAGTGGAAGTCTACGAATTTCCTTCTCAGGGGTAACAGAGTCAGATTCACGTACCATGGTGTTTTGTTTCAGTTTATCGCTAAAGGAGACGTTCTTACTTACGGATTTAGAAGAGCTACCCCTATGCTCGTTCCTATTTACATTGTTTTTGGTAGGCAGAGCGTTTTGGGCTTCATTCTCGGTAGTAATATTAGTTACATTCTTAGGCCTACTCTTTGCTTCAGTTACTCTATTGCTGATTTCATTTGTTGGTTTTGGCCCTACCTGCTTACTGTCATTAGCTATATTACAGATTGCATGTTCAAGTTTAAAAATAACTTCAGTCTTTTTTGCAATTACTTCAGAGAGCCTAATATTTTCTGTTTTAAGGTTATCTATTTCACTCTTAAGATCTGTTATATCATCGAGTAGGATCTTTATTATTTCATTATATTGCTTATCTTCCATAGTGTCTTTTTTATGTGCCACAGACAATGCCTTGCAATTACGACAAACCCATGTAACTAGTGTGTCGTTTTCGTCCCTTAAGATACTATACTGCTCATCGCTAACATTAACACAGCCTATATGGTACCAATTTACGTCACTACAGTTGCAGGCTACTGCTTTGTCATCATCATTAATACTTATGTAACAAACTATACATGGATACGTAGGCCTATTATGCAGAGTTTCCTCCAGGGGAGGGTCAGTCTCTTGTTTACTTTTTGTCTTATTTTTCCTTGTTTGAGACATTATTTTTTTTTTTTTTGGGGGGGGGGGGATATTTGGGAAAAAGGAGAGGGGTCTTTGGTGTGTGGTAGGCCCAAAGGTGTTAGGCGGGCTGGAAAGCAGTCTTTAGATTTGGTGAGTTGCGTCCTAATTTCCCTGTATTGAGTCAGAGTGAGAGGTTAATGTATGTTCATGTTTGACTAGACTGGTTTTGTTTGTGATTGATGCCTAGCTAAATAATTGATGTGATTGTAAGCATACAATTTGGCTAAGTGCGAGTGTGTGAGTAAATAGTAAATAGGGATGTGCATGCGTGAGTGTTTGGTGATTTGAGCTTTCAGAAGTAGAGCGTTCTGATTGGCTTGATGGTTCTTCTACTTCTACTAAGTTAACTTGCATGCAATGATGGCTAGTTTCAGTTTCATACAGAATTCAAAATGGCCGTCTACCGGTCATATTTCAGTTATGTTAACTGTGTAAAATCTTAATAGTTCACTTTGCACTTTTGCACTCTCGTTAAATTATTGATATTAAACTGTAGAAGCTTATGAAATAGTAGGTTTATGTTTGAAAACTAATAAAATTACTGAAATCTTCTATCAAAAGTCTGCTTATGGAAGTAGTATGGTTTGATCTTACCAAGTTTTGAAGTTCGTTTTCACAGTTAAAAATCACTTTATCTTACTAAAATTATTATCACAAAAGCTTTGGCACTTAATAAACTAAGGTTGTAATCACTATATGATTCATTAAATTTGATTTTTCCGGTAAAGAAACGTAATAAAATAAAACGTAATAAAAGAAACGTAACGCCCTCTATCAATGACGGACAGGGAGGCATTTTGAGAAGGAGAAAACCGGCCGGAATGCTTTAGGTTTATCAATAACGAAGATAAACATGGTCTGAGTTACACACCGGTAATCTTTGAGATCACTCTTTTAAACTCATTGTAAATATGACTGTTATTCGTTTTGAAATCATTCACTTTGCAATTGCTCGAATTCGAACAACATGTACAATATTAAGTTATTAAATATTGAATTTTTATTTTAAGGATTTGCCATATGAGTATGCCTATTATAAATAACACCATTTCAGAGTTATGCCAGTTTTTTCCTAACTCTGTTCTGTAGAGTTTAAAGTAGCCTACACCTTATTGTCTACAAATTGGCTAAATAACTTAGGTACGGTGTCACATTATAAAAGCTGACAGCCTTTTTACGTTGAATTGAATTGTAAGCTTACCTTTTCCCGTCCATGGGAAGTTTGATAGTTAAAAATTAACCCTTTAAACTGGAATAGGACTGTTATGTAAATCGTGAGTATTTCCATTAGTTAATAATCTTTTAGTCACTCTTTTAAAATCATCGGAAATTATGGCTGTTATTAGTTTTTAAACAAGTTATTTGTTTATAAATAACTCCAGTACTTCTTTGCAATTGCTCGATTTCGAGCAACATGTACACTAGTAATTATTAATGAAAATAAATCATTGTTCCTTTTTCATTTTTTTTTTCAGGTGTTGTAAGATTCAGCCAGCTATAAATAAATCTATTTTACCAAGAGAAGAAGTTTTAGATAACCCTCTCAAATCAAATGTAGTTGTAGTAAGTATGAAAAATTTGTGTTGCTTATATTTTTAGAAGTAAATAAATGTGTTATATCTAAACATAAAATGCAAAGCCCTCACTGACTGACTGACTGAGGCTTACTCACTCATCACTAATTCTCCTACTTCCCATTTATCTAGGAGGCTGAAACTTGGTACACTGATTCTTTAGGCATTAAATAGTACTAAGTAGTTTTTATTTTGATCAGACTTTTGTGCTCCGCCCCCGGCTCTGGAGTTGCCCATGTAAGCCTTATCTTTTTTCATATTTAAAAGCAATTAATGAATCTTAATAGCTGTTTCAATTAAACAAGTTGGTTCTGTTCTATGATGTTCAATAGCATCATTGACTATTTAGCATTAACACGTTCGCTGCTGACCGCTAGATGCCGGGACGGCGCCAGGAGCTGAACTAACGCTTGTCGCTGCATAAACATTGCTGACGACACACTGAATTACAGTAAAAACAACAGTAGTTATACTGGATGGCAATGTTCTGCAATAAAACTGGCTTTGGACATAGTACCAAGCGATTCTGATAGATAGTAGCGTTACCCAGGTTGCAGTTCGTAAAGTAGTGTCGCTATCTAGCAGAAAAGAGGTGGGGACAAAGCCCTGTTCTAAACGACCCTGGTGGGGATTTTGGGAAACTATACTTTTTATTGTCAGAAAAGTACGTCCCCACGAGCTGCAAAGAAATATAGGACGCTCGTGACGAGCTGGCTAATCCATGGAAACGTTAAACAACAATGACACAGCGTTGTATATGTACAACGCTAGCTCCTGGCGCCGGGTAGGCACGTTGTAAAAATACAACGCCAGCAGCGAACGTGTTAAGAAAGTTAAAAAGGTTTATCAACAGGGTGCAGCACTATTAACTTTTTGTTTGAATTTTTGATAACAGTAATTTAAACACTTGGATGGAAGGAACTAATACTAGCCTATAGATATGAATGTTTGAAGTACCTATGTCAATAACATGAAAACTACTTGACCAATTGAGCTGATTTTTTTCATTAACAGAGCCAATATAAAACCACAGGCTTAGTGGAGATAGTCACTTCATTTTTATTTTAATACTCTCTTAGGGCCCAAATACTCTCTGAGAGCTTAATAAGTCCAATGTTGTTTTTCAAACTAACCATGAATAGCCACTCGAAATGCCACCCAACCCGGTACGGCAACAATAGTTTTACTTTGAAGTCAAAACAGAGCAAAGCCCGCGGGTACAGCTAGTTAGATCATAATTTACGTTTTTCATACCCTTCTATAATCTGCAAGCAGTCTAGAGACACTTTGTAAGCCAATAAAAGAAAAAAAGCCTCTAAATATGAGGTTTTGAGCAGCAATGTATTTGCAATTTTCCAGTGTACGAATGCTCACGATACTCCTCAGGCATACTACAGGCTTGTCCACCTATTGTGGAGAACATACTAACAATGTAGACGTCCAAGATTTCATCGTGGGAGATGTTCACAGTTGTAACAAAAAGAAATGTTCCCAAAATTGCCATGTTTGCAGTGGACACTAACTATTTTGTCGTGATCATATGGGGCGTTTATGGTTTCATGACAACCTAAGTATGATGTACACAATATGGGAGATCTACCAGGACTTGAGCTTGATAGTGAAGATGTTCATAATTCCACCGCTATCACAGGAGAGGTGTTACTCATTTCATTAATATTTACAATCGTCAAACCCGTTCACCCATTGTTGAGTTATGACTCAGAACATACCTTTTAATATATAGCATTGTTGTAAATTTCTATTGTTAACGATTTCATGTATCAAAAATATGTATCGATTCGTGCTTTGTAATAATTTTAACCTACAGTATACAGTCTCTTCCAATTTTAGCATTTTAGCATTGCAGATACATTGATCCATTCCCACACTCAACACTGCTCACCTTTACTACTTCCTTCACCACTTCCTACGTCGTGGGGCCTGTTTCCTTCCCTTCTCATAGCATTTTAGAAATGAAGATACATTAATCTAACTGCCACAGACGGGTCTCACACTATACTCATACTTTACTACTTCCTTCACCACTTCCTACGTCACGGACCTATTTACCTACCTTCCCTTAGCATTATTGGATTGCAAATACCTTAATCTATTGGTCATAAACAGGATCCCACACTCCGAACAACTCACCTTTACTACTTCCTTCACCACGTCCTACGTCACGGACCTGTTTCCCTTCCTTTCCATAGCATTTTAGGATTGCAGATACCTTAATCTAATTGTCATAAACAGTTCCAACACTCCGGACAGCTCGCCTTGACTACTTCCTTCACCACTTCCTACACCTCCGACCTGTTTTCCTCCCTTCCCTTAGCATTTTAGGATTGTAGATACCTTAATCTAATCATCATAAACAGTTTCCACACTCGGACAGCTTGCCTTGACTACTGCCTTCACCACTTCCTACGTCGCGGACCTCATTTCCTCCACTCCCATAGCATTTTAGGATTTTAGATACCCTAATCTAATCGTCATAAACAGTTTCCACACTCCACACTGCTCGCCTTTACTACTTCCTTCACTACTTCCTACTTCGCGGACATGTTCTTTCCCTTCCCATAGCATTTTAGGATTGCAGATCCCTTAATCTAATTGTCATAAAAAGTTCCCACACTCCGGACTGCTCGCATTTACTACTTCCTTCACCACTTACTACTTCGCGGACCTCATTTCATCCCTTCCCATAGCATTTTAGGATTGCAGATACCTTAACCTAATCGTCATCAAAGTTCCCACACTCCGCACTGCTCGCCTTTACTACTTCCTTCACCACTTCCTACGTCACGGACCTATTTACCTACCTTCCCTTAGCATTATTGGATTGCAAATACCTTAATCTATTGGTCATAAACAGATCCCACACTCCGAACAACTCACCTTTACTACTTCCTTCACCACTTCCTACGTCACGGACCTGTTTCCCTTCCTTTCCATAGCATTTTAGGATTGCAGATACCTTAATCTAATTGTCATAAACAGTTCCAACACTCCAGGACCGCTCGCCTTGTCTACTTCCTTCACCACTTCCTACACCTCCGACCTGTTGTCCTACCTTCCCTTAGCATTTTAGGATTGTAGATACCTTAATCTAATCGTCATAAACAGTTTCCACACTCCGGACAGCTCGCCTTGCTTCCTTCACCACTTCCTACACCTCCGACCTGTTTTCCTCCCTTCCCTTAGCATTTTAGGATTGTAGATACCTTAATCTAATCGTCATAAACAGTTTCCACACTCCGGACAGCTCGCCTTGACTACTTCCTTCGCCACTTCCTACGTCACGGACCTGTTCCCCTCCCTTCCCATAGCATCACAGGATTGCAAATACCTTAATCTAATGGTCATAAACAGATCCCATACCCCGAACAGCTCGCCTTTACTACTCCTTCACCACTTCCTACGTCGTGGACCTGTTTCCCTCCCTTCCAATAGCATTTTAGGATTGCAGATACCTTAATCTAATTGTCATAAACAGTTTCCACACTCCAGTCTGCTCACCTTTACTACTTCCTTCACCACTTTCTATGTCGCGGACCTGTTTTCCTCACTTCCCATTGAATTTTAGGAATGCATGGTGACTTACCTAAATCTAATCGTCATAAACAGTTTCCACACTCCAGACTGCTCATCTTTACTACTTTTTTCACCACTTCCTACGTCATGGACCTCAAGCTAGTGTCGTCATTGGATTATATTTATGTCCATACCGTTTCTGTTCTAATATCTGTGGAATAATGCTATTCCTTTATATTTCTTTATCTACTGCATTCAAAAGTCACCAGCTGATCATATGTCTTTGTTTATGTGTCAAATACTGCTCCCATAAGGATTACATTGAAACTTTGAGACCCAGTGGGGCGGATTCCTGAGAGACTTTTTTAACGCCATATATATGTTGGCACTCACCGATATGGTCTTTATCACCATGCAAAATTTTAAAACGATCGATTCAGCCGTCTAGGAGGAGTTTGCGTATTACAAAATGCATAAGAGTCGAGGTATAAGAGCTTCGCTCGCTCCGCTCAATTAATTGTCTAACAGCTGTTGCAAAATAAATATTAAAATAAAATACGGAATAAACAGCTGTGGCGGAGTTGACGCCACAGTAACTTACTTAAAATGTAAACACTGTTATTTAAATAACAAAAAACACATACATCAAACAACCGTCAGGGGTCCAAACAATCCCAATATTTGGTGGGAAGGAATCTGAAACTGACTGACGGACGCCGGCAGTGTGACTCACAGAACTGCGTGGAAAATGTTGCTGGATGAGTGTAGATAGCGCAAAAGAAAATCCAATTAGGAATCAATTATTTGCCTGAACTGTGACACGCCAGATCTGATGTGTGTGAATAGACCTCTAAGATGGTTTTGGTAACTGATTGGGATGGGAGTTAAAAAATGATGACAGTCCAGCTACAACTTCTAGAAAGATTAGCTAGCAGCCCAAGGCCACTGTTGTCCTAGGTACGCCCGACAACTGTTGACATTCAGTTTTTGTGTACTGTGTTATTAAAGATTAATAGGAATCTTCAATGTTTATCCTTATATGTCTTCCTTTGTAGGCCTATATATTTCATATTCCTTCTGTATTCAGTATTAGAGCCAATAATGCAAAATCAATATTAAAAGTTTATTGCTAACGGTAATTTTGACTCAGCTGAAAACCCCTCACTTAATTTTGTGATTTAGAACTTTGACAGAGCCAGGAGAAGGATATAAATACTGTTGAAGATATATGTTTATGCTGCTGCTGCAAAAACACCTAGACCCTCTTGAGGAAACAATCTACAGGGAAAAGTTAAGTCAATGTGTATTGCAGGCAAAGTTCAGCGACATGGCCAGAGATATTCCTCCGGACAATGTATCAACTAAATTCTAGGTTACAGTGTAGTCAGCAGACATGGTATTTTGCCTGAGTTTTTAGAGCACAATGCTGTACAGATGCTAGTGCCTGTAGATTAGTATAGAACCACCATTTGATAATTTTGTACACACAATGTTAGGTTTTGTATTGCACCAACCTACACATTCATATTTGTAGCCTACCAATTTTAGATATTTTGGATTTTGGTTAGTTTCTTTCATACAACAGATCTCAAGCTACAAAGTAATTTTAGCCTGCAGTTGTCTGAGGGCGTGTCTGTAAGAAAGTATTAGTATAGTATAGTCCTCTGGCTCTTATTTGTATATGTTTCACAGGTCAGTGAAAGCAAGGGTGCCAGTAGGAGGGGGGGTAGCACTGTAACCAGTACCGGGTCATCCACCCCCACTCCCCCAGTATTGGACCCGCTCACGGTAGCTCTAGACGGGACAGACCCGCTAAGTCAGTTTGCTGCCAGTCAGGATCCATTGTCAGTTATGGCTACAGAATCTGTGAGTAGGCTCACTTGTACACCACCAAGATAAATCTAAATTACTATTAAACAAAATTCATGTTACTGGCCCTTGGCTTACTTTCTTAAGATAAAAAAGGTTTCACTTTTAACTTTAACGAATAGTGCAACGATTACTCACTTGAATCAGCGTACCTCTTTTGTTGTAAAAACAACTTTTTAAAACTTGCAAATTCATCAAACACTAAAATTAAGTGTAGGTAGCACTATCATGATTTCATGATGATCAAGTTAGCGTTTAAATTCTGTTTTAAATCTGTTTTGTGCATGTTTGAATAAAAAAACTAGAGGTCGTCCAGAGGTCAAAAACTCAACCAAAAATATGTAATGTACAGACTTCTCTATTTTCACCCCATGCTTTAAATAAAACATGTGATAGGGATTTCTTTTGAAAGTGTCTTTAAAATACCCGTGCCGCAGCAAACCTGCAGACTAAGCGAATTTCCATTTGCCTGATTGGATTTACACTAAAATGCCTCCTTAAAAATATCACATTTATTCCCTATTTAAATAACATTAGTTTAACGAGTACTTAGGTTTGCTGCAATAGGTAGGGTAAAAAGGTGTTTTTGTAAAATGTTAATAGCTTAGTATAAAATGAATGCATTTTCCAAATTTGATCAAAATATGATCATAAACAAGCAAACTACAACAGTTTTACTTATTCTCCATAAGAATAACATGGGAATTTTAAATTTACAGTTTTTTGGAATTTTCTCCGTAACCATTAGCCGCATAATAACGCTTCAATATACTAAATTATTTGTTTTTTTTTAAGCTCTACAAAATGGTTTGGTAAGAAAATGCTAAATTTTAAGTTTTAAGGGTAAAAAATGGGAAAAACTAATTTTTGCCCCATAAAACCCCCCATAAACCCCTGTTCCCATAGTCCGATCATGCTGGTTCGCGAACTCGTTAGAATAAACGTAGGTTTACAAGTTTGTACCAAATTTCATCAAAATCGGATGATTTTTGCTCGAGTTATCGCGCTAACGGACACATATATAAATATATATATATAATTTGAACGGATGATGTTTCTGGTCTCTAGGGACCTCAAAACGAAAAAGCAAATTGGTCCCGGGTCCAGGTCTTACCATGAGTACTATGGTAATAGCTTATTCCCTTTAGGGGAAATTCGCTTAAAGCAGTTCGTATCAAGGGCTGTAAAACAATTTTGCCCTTGTTGCAACATGATGTGAATGCCGTCGTATCACGTTGTGTTGCTTCGGACCAGAAGTGTTTCCCATAGCAAAATCTGCGTTTTAAGTTCATAAGTCCAATGTCTGGGCCACAAAACTCCCGAGGCACTTATCTTAACGCACATCTAAGACTATCTATCAAATTCGGTATAATAACTACATCTTTGATTAACTCTAATATTATAGAGAGGGTTACGGTTTCTCCTTTCTACCTGGCCAGTTAATGTTCGCCATAGAGGCATTTCAGAATGATACTTGAAAGTCATTCAAGTTTATAGTAAACAAATACAGTAAAATGATCAAAATTACACTAAACAAAAAGGAGATATTATATAACACACAATCAGTGCAAAATCAGACTCACCACCACTGAGAACTAAATTTGCTTATGTTATTATTTTGATTTTATATTTTAGATGGATGATTGCTTTACAGCTGGTGAAAATACCACAAAACAAATATTATTAATGTACACAGGCCAACAAGATTGCAGTGCATTTCATACAGTACACATTTTATAAGTATACATGTGATTGGAATTTCAGTAGAACTCTGATTATCCGAATCAATTGGGACCAGACCCCATTCGGATAATCGAAAATTCGGATAATCGGAGTTTAACAGGAAATCCGGGAATTTCCAAGAAAAATTCTTATTTTCGGTACTAAATGAACTTTTAATTAATAATAAAGAAATCAGAACATTTGTACAGTTTACACAATGCTCATAGCACAAATGTGTTCTATTCATGTTCTTAAGTTACAGTAATAGTGTTCCATCAAAGTCCAAAATTACAGCTTGGCTAAATTTGTTTAGTAACAATTCTTTGATATTTTGCAAAACTTATTATTACTGTAGCTTTACGTTTTTAAAATTGTTGAAATAAGCGATTCGGATAATCGGAGATTCGGTTAATTGGAGTTTGGATAATTGGAGTTCTACTGTTCTTTCATTTGTTTTGATTTGCTATTTACATTGTGTTGTTATTTCGTTACCAGCATGGCAACCCATAAGGCCCATGTTAATTTTTTAAAATTTTAAATTAAATTTTTGTGCTTATGTTGTAGCCTATTTTAGTTTTTAAAGGGATTCTGCACACCTACAAGAAAATATCTTTCTAACAGTATTCGGGATTTTCCCTGCTATTGCACTTGAGCTGAGAAAAAAGGTTTTAAAGAAACAAGCTTGCCTATTAATACATAGACTAGGTGAAACCCGTTGAAATCGATGGTTACTTTAGGTTTTACGTTAATTCAGCTAACTGCGATGGATAGAGTGAAGTTATTAAAATTTTAGTTAAATGAAGGGAGGATAAAAATAATTATGAGTATGACGATACGTTAAAAACGTGGTTGATGAATTCGTTGAATACAATATTTTCTGTCCTTTCATCGTCTTTGCCTAAAAGGTTTTTTAGGAGTCTTGTAACAATATTGTTTCTTGTTCATTAGTTTTGTTCATGTTAAAGCCTCTTTCACTATATGGGGAAAGTAGTTCATATAATTGGTCTGTCATTAGACGGAAAGAGTCAATATTAATAATAACTGGTTCCATCTGCTTTAGGAAAATCATTCAGATCGTATTTGAATTGTATAAGTGAATCACCATCCTAGGTCATAAAAATACAGAATTTTATCAGTGGGAGGCATATTAAATCTGTTCTTTTGTATTTGATAAAAATATCTGATTCTCCAGAAAGCAGTAACATTCTTACTTCGATGCGGGTCCAAACAATTTAGATTCCTTCTCTTGCCACATCGACCAATGTATTTAATCATCCTGTACTTATTTGCTAATTGATTAACTTCTGGCATAGTTTTGTGAAATTGAGGTTGCTCTCGAACTTGAACTTTATTGATATGCGAGAGTCAATTGCCTTGACCGTATTGATCACATAAAGCTGTGCATGTATTTTGTGGATGGGATGGACCAAAATTGTATTGAATTTGGCCACAAATCTTGAACATTTGCAGAACCACATCCAAATTTTTAAAATACCTGAATTGCCATTAATTCACCTACTTCACCAAAACCACAGATTAAACATACTCCGTGGTTAGTCATGTCAAAACTTGAACACAGCTCACATCCTTAACGTACTCCTCTACACTTGCAAGGCTTTTATTGTATGACACAATTTTCTACTCATTTATCGAAAACTTTTATGCTAATAATCTCACAAACCTCTGACGTTCTTTCTTGAATGTAATAATAATTGCTTTGCTTAGGTAACACTTTGCTGATTTCATAATATAATATTGTCTAAGTGCATTAAAAGCATAGATTTTTGAACAATTTTAAAATCAAATTCAATTTAAAATCAAATTCAATTTAAAATTAAATTCAATTTTAAAATCATAAATAATAATATAAACATTTCTTTTTGACAGATTCAGTAAATACGCTCATAACACTTAACCTTTGTAGTACAATTTTAATATTAACAGCTGGTTCATTAAAAGTAGTGTGAAATTACCATATGGCATAATGTAAACGAATCTGCTGAGGGAACTTTAAAGGCCTGTGGGGCAGAGCCCCAAGGGAATTTACCTCGTTTCTCTTTAGATGGCTCATCTACAGACGAAGACGTTTCTTGATACACCCCTACCAAGTTTCTACGCCCAGCCGTTCTCTCAAATTAGCTGTGACAAAACCCCTGTTTTTTCCTCTATAAGGATAACACGGGAATGGAATTTTAAAGGCCACTGGGGCAGAGCCCCAAGGGAATTTACCTCGTTTCTCTTTTGATGGCTCATCTGCAGACCAAGAACTATCGTTAGACACCTCTACGAAGTTTCTACGCCCAGCCATCCTCTCAAATTAGTGGAGACAAATCCCCATTTTTTCCTCCATAAGAATAACATGGGAAGAGAATTTTAAGGCCACTGGGGCAGAACCCGATGGGAATTCACCTTGTTTATCTTTTGAGGGGAGACCAAGATCTATCTTTAGACACCTCTACCGAGTTTCTACGCCCAGCCGTTCTCTCAAATTAGTAGAGACAAAAAAAAAAAAACCGTTTCAAATTATTAGATTGAGCTTTCAAACTGTTTTCTTTACAACAAAATGAAAATATATTAGCTGATTCTACTGAATAATCGTTGGACTGTTTGACTGAGGTGCAGTAAACCCTGTTTTTCCAAGTTACTACCTTCATACTTGATGCTGATGAATAGTAACAATGAAAATTATTCTTAGCTGTGCAGAGGCATAAAGGTTTATCATTAATTTTGTATTGATAGTGGTACAATTTATGATGATGGTTGTCCGTAATTTAAGGTCTGCATCAAGCTCCTATCTCAGCCAAGCAAGCTTGAAATATGTTATATTTGTTCAAAAAGTATTTAAAAACGTAATAAAAGTAAATTGACATTAGCCAAGAATGAATCACGTTCTGTGATAAGGTTTCTGTAGATGTAATTTGTGATTTAATTTTATAGGCCTACTTTAATAATTCAGTTTTGTTGCCCTAAAACACACATCACAGAAGGAATTGTGGTACTATAACATGCCTAATTCTATCTTATTCCTTCCTGCTATTTTGGATCAGAGGTTTTTTATTTATCATTCCAACTATCTATGCCTACCATACTCTGTCCTGAATTCATTCATCTTAGTAGCCTACTTTAATATTTTAATACTTTTCAATGAAATGGCGACCATACAAAGTAGGTATTTTAAGCCAAGTATGAATGGAGATGAGTGTAGGATGAGTGGCGCGATCTTATAGTCCTGTTAGTGACTAAGGCCGACTTATTCCTTAGATACAGCTTGCTGTTAATTAATAGCCCATACAGCTAATGGTAACTAAGGGACTTACAGTTTATAGTGAAATCCGAACCACATTTTTGCCTCTTTATTGGTTTTTTAATATTTTGGAAACTTTAAATAATAATTCTAGATTGTTGGTTTTCAAAAGTTATAAAGAAGAAGAATAATGATCTTATTTTGAAGACTAACTTAATAAAAGGAGGCAACTGATAAACGTTTACAAAATTATATTCTTCTTGACTTACATTTTTTACCTGGAATTTACATGAAATGGGGACTTAAAATTAGTTTGTATCGTAATCTATGCCAGGAACCTGTTTTATAGTTGCCTTTGGTAGTTTTCTCAAACGAAGAACATGGCGGATCTAGATGTCGTGGACCATGGTCCTGTAGTCTGGACGTAATCACGTCACGAGTATCAACCGTTTATGAACCACTCCCGCTAGGCAACTGCCATTATCAACGACAGTTGAAATAAGAAGAGTTACTTATCAATACTGAATTATGGTAGGCATCGATGGTCGACAACGGTGTAGACTAGACGGTGTTGAGTAGTTTGGAGAGTCGAGTGAAGAGTGAGCACTGAGTGCTTCAAGTCACGTAACGTGATGCTTGTATCTGATTGGTGGCTGACACCCACTGGAATAGAATAGTCTAGATCTTCTTTCTTTCTTATATGGCGACTCCCCTTGAAATTTGAAATTTTGACTATTCGAATAAAAAATATTTTAATGTTTGGAAATTTCTATCGGTTTCCGTTCGCGTGGGAATTATCGCTTTATATTGTTCTGCGTCATTTCATATTATTTTTTGTCTCTGTTTAATTAATTATTTTATTTTATTTCATTGACCCCACCGTATAGTACAGGTGTCAACCCTTGTTTATTACTGTTGCCAGTTGACGTATGTGTTTGGAGATAATGGTTTTGATGTAGTAAATGTGCATAAGTGGCTTAGAAAGCTTGCATATAGAGGTGGGCGTTATTTAACGTAATAGGATAAATAATACTGTTACTGGTGTCACCTATTACCTATCAATAGATTAGCCGAGAATGCCCTATTATTTTAGTAACGTCATTTGAACTGTTTAAGCGAACAAATGAAACAACTATCCCGCTGATTGTGTCTTGCTAATAACTTCACAGCAAGCATAATAAATTAATATAGTACAGTACCTTAATAATAAGATTATTTTTGTATCCTTGTTCTGATAGAATGAGTGAGTAAAATATCACTGATTGTGTCTTACTTAGCGACCACCGACCAGTTTTAACGTCCTTCACGAGGAAGTAATAGGTGACAAATTAATAGTATTATTTCACCTTTTACCGAAGCTAAGGAATGTTCCTGATGATGACGGTATTTCACATCTCTACTCGCACAAGACCATACAGAAAAACCGGTCTGAGTACCGCCCTTTGTGGCAGTGGATGTTCATCAGGTTCCATCGATACAGGGGTTGAATTTAAGGAAACTTTAATTGCTGATTGGCTTGTTTCAGACTGCCAGGTCTGACCGAATCCATTAATAGTCTAATAGAGATGTCTCCTATTAGTTTGACAATCCATCTTGTTCAGTCTCACAGTGATCCACAGGGAAAAAATTCTATTAACCACTATTTCAATCAAGACTGAGATTAGTCGGCCTAGATAGATTGAGAACACTGTTGGCACAATTCCTTGTATTTAAAGCTAAATCTTTGTTCTTAGTTTAAATCACCATTTTACAATTTATTCAATGAAAAATAAACACAGATAAGGATAAAAAAGTTGAGTTTTAACTTTTTAAAGTTTAACATTTTTAGAGCAAAATATTCCCTATGTGTTTTTATAACAAAAAAACAAACACAAAACTAAACTTCCTTATAACAAAGTTACACTGTCTGATGTTGTCATCACGAGATTATGTAATGTAAACATATAATGTAAAATTGACAGCTCCAATATGTTGAGCAAGTTCAATGACTTTCCAGGCAGATGATTTTACGTTTTGAACTTAATACTAGGCCTAGACGTTTGATCCATGATTCTTTTGTGTGATGTGAACATTGATCCAAGTTTAAATTTCCCTGTATCAACTTATTTGAATGAAGACTCAGATAAGTAGCAACTATACATTTGCTTAGTATACAGGTTGTGCTTTGGGAGGGGTTAAGATTTACTCAGCCTACAATTTTATTTATGTAAAATCTTTAAAAATACATTCACAGTGGGATAGAGAAGACAAAAAGTCATCAAAGAAAGTGGAAAGGTATAGCGACATTGAGCCGTGGGCAGTTCGCAAAACATCCATCCTAAGCAAGTTTACCACCTCTGAGAAACTATCCATGGTGTCGAGTTTTCTTTCTGGAGGGGAAAAAGGTAAGGCTGGTTTCGATAACCTGTTTTTAACCAAGCAATTCCAGTTTGATGTTTACCTTAAAACTGCTAAACAATTTGTAAAATATTAGGTAAGTACTAAACACACCTCTGTGCCAGACATTGAAAACTGATTTAAAACCATTTTTAGCAAATTTTCCTATAGGGAAGTAGCTATTACTGTAGGTGGCATGGTCGGACCTAGGCACGGGACCGATTATTTTTCATATTGATGTCACCAGAGGCCAAAAACACTTTTCGTTCAAATTTTGATACATGTATAGGCTATATATATATATATATATATATATATAAGTGAAATAATAAAATCCAGAGTATTTATTTCACTTATGTATTGAAAAAGTAGCCCTACAAAGTGAACAGAACTATAAACAAAAAAATTTATATCTTACTTATATTATGTGTAGGCCTATATACATGGTATATATATATATTTATATACAGGGTGATTCGTACTCAGTGTAACAAAAGTTTTTGGTGCAAGTACAAAGTAAATGAAGTTTGATGATTAAGAGGTTCCAAGTCTAAAAATTAGCTTCCCAAAGAATTATTTTATGTTTTTTCAAAAATAACTATGATTTAAATAAACTTAATACAGCAATTTTTCAATTACCTGTATATGGATTTGAGTAGATAATGTCATTTTTGTGTTCTACATTAAATTTTGAATAAGAATAATATAAAATGACTAGCTGACCCGGCGAACTTCGTATCGCCTAAGTTATAGGTTTCCCCTAAGACAGACCGATGGAAAGAAAGTACCGTTACGTTTAATTTTCAAGATGATCTCGTTCGCATCGCTCAATCACGTCCTGGTTGAAGTTCGTTCGCTACGCTCACTCACCTTTGGGTTGGAGCTCGTTCGCTGCGCTCACTTGCCTTAAGGTTGGAGCTCGTTCGCTACGCTAACTCGCCTCCAGGTTAGCTCGTTCGCTACGCTCACTCGCCTCCAGGTTTAAGTTCGTTCGCTACGCTCACTCACCTTTTGGTTGCAAATTAGCTGTTGTCATAAATGTAAAAGAAATAATAGTGCTGCACCCTGTTGGTAATCCTTGTAACTTTAATGCTATTGAACATCATAGAACAGAACCAACTTGTTTAATTGAAACAGCTGTTAAGATTCATTAATTCCATTTCTCATAAGGTTAACATGGGAAACTCCAGAGCCACTGGGGCGGAGCCCTTTTAAGAATTTCGAAACAGGAAAGAGTTTACGTCCGATTCGCATACCTACAGAATTTACACACCAAATTTCATAACGATCGGTGAAGTCGTTCCGGAGGAGTTTGCAGACAAACACTGGGACACAAGAATTTTATATATTAGATGGATCAGTAGTAAAAACTCCATTGTAAATAGATTTAAAGATAAAAATGAAAGTGTTTGATAAAAATAAAAATAAAACATTGGTCTATTGCATTTTTCTACACCCTGTATACAATAAGGTGGCCAAATATGTTAAAAACTGCACCATTTTATAAGGTTTTCAACCATATGCTACACTATTGAGGTTTAGATATGCTTTTGTTTGTTTTAGTGGTTTGAATACCAGAAAACAGTGAACTTTTTTACTGTTTTTACCGTTCAAGCTGTAACAAAAATACAATTTTTGCTTAACATGCCGACTTTCTATGTTTTAAATGTTAAAGACACCATGTTTTGTAGTCTTCAAACCACTAAAGGGTACATAAGCAGACATAAAGCTCAATGGTGTAGCATAAGTTTATAAAATAGTGCAGTTTTTAACATATTTTACCACCTTGTTGTATACAGGGTGTAAAAAAATGCAATAGACCAATGTTTTTTTAAATTTTTATCAAATATCTTAATTTTTATCTTTAAATATATTTACAATGGAGTTTTTACTACTGATCCTCTGTTATTTTCTATTATTCTTATTCAAAATTTAATATAGAACACGAAAATGACATTATATATATTCAAATCCATTTACAGGTATTGAGAAATTACTGTATTAAGTTTAAAAACATGGTTATTTTTGAAAAACTTAAAATAATACTTTGGGAAGCTAATTTTTAGACTTGGAACCTCTTATATGCATCATCACACTTCATTTACTTTGTACTTAGGCCCTACACGAAAACATTTTTGTCACACTGACTACCAATCACCCTGTATATATAAATATGTCCGTGAAAGCGATAACTTAAGTAATTTTTGTCCGATTTTTATGAAATTTAGTTTAAAGGTGTAAGGCGGGATAAACTTAAATAATTTCATGAACCAGCATGATCGGATCATGGGAACGGGGTTTTACAGGGGGTTTTATGGGGTAAAAATTGGTTTTTCTCATTTTTGACCCTAAAAATAAAATTTCCCAATCTCTCTCTAGACCTTTTTAAAGAGCTTAAAAAAGAAATAGTTTAGTATACTTTATTAGTTTAATTAGTTTCCTTGTAGCAAAAACCCTAGGTAGGCCTACTCGTTAAACCTAATGTTAAAAAAATAGATTTAATTGAAAATCAATACAGACAAATGGAAATTCGCTTAGTCGGCAGGTTTGCTGCGGCGAGAATACTTTTAATTTTCTTCATTTCATTGTAGCATGATCAGACCATGGGAATGGGGTTTTATGGAGTAAAAATTGGTTTATCTCATTTTTGTCCTACAAAACATAAAATTTCCCAATTTTTCTCTAAACCTTCTTAATTAGCTTAAAAAAACAAACAATTCAGTCTATCAAAGTGTTTTTTTACGGTTATTGGTTATGAAGAAAACTAAAGAAAAATGTAAATTTAAAATTCCCATGTTATTCTTATCGAGAATATTGTAAAATGTTGTAGTTTGCTTGTTTATGGATAAACCTTGATCAAACTTGGCAAATATATGGATTTTATATTAAGCTATAATTATTTTACTTAAAAGCACACTTTATTAGTTTTCTTGTAGCAGCAAACCTAGGTACTAGTTAAACCTAGTTATTTAAATAGATCAATTGAAAATCAATTCAGCCAAATGGAAATTCACTTAGACGGCAGGTTTGCTGCGGCGAGGTTATTTTGGTAAAATATTAATAGCTTAGTATAAAATAAATAAATTTAACAAGTTTGATCAAAATATATCCATAAACAAGCAAACTACAACATTTTACAATATTCTCCATAAGAAAAACATGAGAATTTTAAATTTACAATTTTTTGAATTTTCTCTTTTACCAATAATCATAGAAAAACACGTTAATATACTAAATTATTTGTTTTTTTAAGCTCTTTAAAAAAGGCATAGAGAGAAATTAGTAAATTTTGTGTTTTGAGGGTCAAAAATGAGAAAAACCAATTTGTATGCCTTAAAAACCCCCGTAAAACCCCCTTCCCATGGTCCAATCATGCTCGTTCGCGAACTCATTCAAGTTTATCCCGCCTTACACCTTTAAACAAAATTACATCAAAATCGGAAAAAAATTACTCAAGTTATTGTGTTCACGGACACACACTCATATATATATGTTTTTGGTCTCAGGGGACATCAAAATGAAAAAGTAAATCGGTCCCTGGCCTAGGTCTTCCCATGCCACCTACGGTAATAGCTACTTCCCTATAGGGAAATTCGCTAAAAAGTGGTATTATAATTGATTTTCCTTTATAATAATTAGGAATAAAATGACTACACGGTATGGTTTCTAAAGTCCATAGTGGAAGTGAAGTTTATTTTACAACAATTAAAATAAACATAACAAACACATGTCATACAATATCATACATGACAGGTGTTATAAACTTAATACCAAGACGGCAATGAGGATCAAGATTACAAATTCCAACAAACTGCATGTTATAAAAACTCATGTAGGCCTACATTAGTGTAATGTGTGTGTTGGTTGTAGTGGTTGTAAAGACACAGAGCTCTGCAGTAAAGACTAGACTAGAGCAGCTGGATGACTTTGAGGAAGGATCAGTTAGAGAGGAGGCTGACCTATCACAACAGGAGTATGCTGGACGTATAGATCAACTCAACAAAGAGCTGGTGCAAGCGTGGAATGATGACCAACGAGTCAAAGCCTTGAAAATTGCCATTCAGGTCAGTGTTGGTTATGTGGGTGTATAGGAACGATTAAATTGTTAGGTAAAATGAACTGCTCATTTGATAGTTAAATTTGCATTTATAACTCAATGTAAAACGTTGTCTGCTGGAAATAATAGGTTATATTTTTCTCAGTGCCTACAAAAGCGTTATAAAATACAAATAACTGATTTAAAGTCCATATAAAATACTGAAAGACCTTTATTTACTTCTGGTTTGATACTATGGACACAGTTTAGCAGTATATTTCGTTCTCTTGGCACCCACTTACCCCACTAAACACTTGTATAAGTACTGACCCAAAACTCTGGCAGTAAAACGCCCTTCCACGCCAGGGTTGAGCTGAAACTAATATTGTTTATTTTAAATTTAATCTAGTAGTTAAATGTAAAAGATACATGTTTTGTTTGAAAAGAAGCATAACATTTATGTATATTTTTCCTATCTTAGTTTTTTCTAGTATGTTATGATATTAGCAATTTTAAATTCATCGGTATCCTACATAAAAACCATTATAAATGTGTACAATATTTCAGTGTTCCAAGTTATTGGTTGACACGTCAGTCATCCAGTTTTACCCAAGCAAGTTTGTACTGATCACAGACATATTGGATATCTTTGGACAGTTAGTTTACAACCGACTTCTTGTGAAATCTGAAAATACTGTACCAATACGGTAAGTCAATTTATAAAATTAATATAATGTACCTTCATTTTGTTGTGTAACCTTTAAGTAATAATATTTTAAATAGTGATGGGCGGATCCAAGAAATTTTTGGTTCCGAATACGGATTCGGATCATGAAATTTCGGATCTAGATATACAGGCCCGATTTTGACCCTGTCAGCACCCTAGGCAAAGCTAATTGAAGCGCCCCTTTCCAATGTATATATATAACAGGTTGTCCAGCGACCGGGAAAACCAGGAATTATTTGTGAGTTATTTCAACTGGGAACTACCGTATGCATGAATTTCGTATTTCTACCTGAATTTTTGAATTTACCGCGATTGCGCATGGCAACAGTTACGTATCCGTAACCGCGGGAGACGATAATATGTCTACACCCGGGATGATCGGAATTTTGCCGTGATCGCAGATGATGATGATACCTACAGAGCCACGAGGGAGGATCAGAGTATTGTCGCGATAACGGAAGAGGATGATAATCTCCAGACAACTGTGTGTTACAGTTAAAATTTTGCCGCGATCGCGGGAGACGATTACTACCTATGTCCACACGACCGCGGCAAACAATATATTGAAGTCTTCACAGCCCACAGGATGATAAGATTTTACTGCAACCGCGCAAGACGATGACAATGTCCAGGACGGCAGGATATGTTTATATATTGCCGCGATCATGGGAGACGATAATTATAATTTTTCCTCGATCGGGGCAAAAACGACCGTGTTAAATAATTAGCATTTTGCCACAATCGTGGGAGACGATTACGGTATCTACAAGGCCGCGGGATACAAAAATGATGTCTACACAGGCGCGAGGGATTATCATAAATTTACCGCGATCACATGCAAATACAACCACCATTCCTTTATTTCCCAATATTTTGGCACCCCCCCCCCCCCCTAAAAGCCAATTACTTCACACCCCAGGCACGTGCCTACCCTGCCTATTTGGTAAATCGGCCCTATAGATACGTACTGTTATAAGGACGGGGTTTAAGAAAAAAACCTAATAGATATTTACAGAAATCCAATTTAAATCATACTGTTTACATATTGTCGTTGTCTTTTGTGATCGCAGAAAAATTCTGATTATCACGCACGTCCATGCAAACATCATCATCATCTCCTGGGTCACGGAAACAGTATCGTCCTCTTGCACAAATGCACCAACAACGGTAATTTTCCGATCGCACGATCTTCGTCTAGAAGAGCCGAGAATCGGTATCGGAATAGTGGTACTTTTTCCTAATCACAAACTCATTGTAGAAGAACCAGGAATCAGTATCGGATAGCAGTAATCAGTGGTGGTCCCATTTTGGGATAAAGGAGGGACGTGGGCTAATTGCAACAGTTCATAAAATTGTGTATAATTTAATAATATATAAATAGCCTATTACCAGTCAATTAAGCCTAAAAGCCTATTTAAAATATACTATGTTTAAAATCTATTTCAAACACAAGCTAAAGTAAAAATAATTATATATATCTAAACCAAATCTCAAAAAGTAATTTACCCAAATTAAATTTTATATACTATTAATTGGCCTGAGTGACTAAAAAGTGAACAGTGAACTTCAAGATATAGAAGACCTGACTGAATACATTGTTGCTGAAAAACATGTGTTAGGTAACAACTGGATTTCCTGCTTCTTCTACCATGAACTAGCCTGGGTGAGAGTTTAAAAACTAGTTTGTATGAATTTTTATATTATAATATTTTTCTAGTAAAAAGTGAAAAGCTAAACCAATAGTCTAATTATTTCAAATAGTTTAAACAAGAAGAAATGTGGAAACTTGGAAGAAACTTGGTAATCTCCATCTTATTATTACAAACAATTCTATTTAGATGTTGGACAATTTGAGAACATTAGCCTACTTCAGAGGTGGATCGAGTAGCCTCATAGCTGTTAAAATTTATATAGCCTAAAATCTTGATTCAAGTAAAGACTTTTGTTTTAGAACAATCTTATCCAAATTCGATATAAAATTATTTAGTAAAAAAAAAAAATCAAAGGCTAACAACTAGGGATGGACGAGATTGGATTTTTAGTTCGAGACGAGACGAGACGAGATTTTTTATTTCTCATAAAATTTCGAGACGAGATCGAGACGGGATTTCCCTTCTCATACACAACGGGAAATGCACGTTCGGAATTTTTACCTGATTTTGTAACATTGTTAGATGACTGTTTAAATACAAAAATAATGATAATAGGCAAGAATATTTACAATCTTTTATTAAAAAACATCAGTATAACATTTTTTTATTAATCACGCCTAACTTATTAAAAATGCCTACGATTAGGAAACATAGTGATATCAGTTAGGATAGAGTTCAACTTATCCTAAAATAAAATAAATCATAAAATAAAATATTAATTTTTATAAAATAGTTACCTACTTGTTTTGACTTTTTTTATAGTAATAAAACATTCCTCACACTGCTAACACTTAACAAAACTTCTCAAATATTATTAAAATAATTAAAGTAATATTTACATTTGAAGAATTAATTAAATAAGAACGCCTTCGCAAAGGAAACGCAACTACAACACGCTCCTGTATTGCGGGTATTGCATTGACTTTCTGCAGGCGTTTTTAATTTTTTTTTTTTTTTTTTTTTTTTTTTTTATTCTCGTCTCGATAAAAATCTCGGCCAAAAAGAAATCTCGTCTCGTGTAACGAGATTTAAAATTTCCCGAAAATTTCCCGAAATTTCGAGACTTGACCATCCCTACTAACAACTTTATTATCATAAGAAAAAAGTTTCAAATTAAAAGATTAGCAAGGAAATTGGTAAAAGAGAGTTCCTAGCACTAACCCTAAACCCTGAGGTTGCAATTGGCGCCGCAACGAGTGGGGCTCTCTTATCAACCAAACCTTGCTAATAATACAAGTAGGCCTAGCTCATGTGTTTGAAATAGCGATTTTTAGGTTAAACTAAGAATAGCCTATAAGAGTGTTGTACTATTATAAAGGTATCTAAGTTAAGATTCCCCACCTGTTTCCCATGTCACAACTAGCCTATCAGTCACCTGTTAGTTAAAGATATCCAAGATGACGAGTCAATACAATTTACGCCCAAACCCTAAACCCTCTAGGAAACTAGTCGAAGATAGCGGGGATAGTGACGATAATAATCAAGACGACAACAACATCGAAATTCACACAAACACTAACACCAGCGATATTAGTGAAGATGAATCATGCACACTAACAGCGAAAAGCCCTGAAATATTATCACAACAAACACACTCAGAAGCAGAAAACAAATCCTTTGACGAGCGACCATTCCACGGTTCCGAGTCATCAGAAATTGTAGCCCAAGCCACAAAGCAAACAAATTTTACTGACCAAACCAACGTCCCGGTGAACGATGAACAAGGAATGATGGGAATGAATATGACAGCTGATAGGCCTACGTTCCTTACGACGGCAACAGAAACACAACAGCCAATCACAACACAGTTTCATGACGATCAATCACAGCGAGCTTCTCAACATGCTACAGCAAGCACCGTCACTCAACTACCCGACCCCAAACCCGACTTTATGACCCAAATTCAAACGCTATTCCAATCTTTGGGTAATAAAATGATATCGTTGGAAACTAGCATTAAAGATGAAATAAAGTCCCACTATAGAATCCTCGATACTAAAATTGAATCTATCACTGAATCACAAAATAAACTACAATTGGAATTAAACTATGTGAAGGAAAATCAGCAAAAACAATCAGAGGAAATGAAATCAATTGAATCTAAATTAGCTACCCAAATTGCTGAAAGCTCCTATAATCTAAAAATGGACCTGATAGCAGATCTAAATGCCCATAAAACTGAAGTAAATAGCTTAGTCCATACCCAAAATAAAATTATTAGGGAAGAGATGAGCCAGACTATGAATACTAATTTAAATAATATTCAAAGTCAAATTCAGGAAACATATGAAACACAACATAAACAACTCAGACACACAGTAAGTGAAAATACTCAACGGATTCAAGAACAACTAGAACCACAGATTAAAGCAAATCAAGACAGAGTTGAACAAAACATTGAATTAATAGAAAATATGAAAATAACACTAAGTGAACATCATAACAAGATTGAATCTCTTCAAAACGAAGCCACTGTTAAGCAGAGTATATTCACCCCTAACATTTATGTATCTTGTGGTAGCGGAACTAACGTTGACTCAAATAACGTACCTAAATTCACTGGACAAGCACACAACCCCAAAGAGTTCTTAAACAAACTACAAAAATATTACTGTCGCAATTTGGTTCGCCAGAGTCCCACAACCGACCCTAAAGAATTCTTAATTGATACGATAGAGATGAGTTTAGAAGGGAGCGCTTCACGATGGTTTTATCTTATCAAAAGTAATATTAATACATGGGATGAGTTTGAGAGCATGTTTCTTATGAAATTTTGGAGCCAATCAGTACAGCGTGGAATTCGACATAGATTGGAAAACGAGAAGTACCGTCCTGGAGGAAAACTGACCCGCTCAGAATACTTCATAGAGAGAGTCATAACGATGAAATCAATGTCCCCACCTTTGACCGATGAAGAAATTATTACATTGTTAAGCGATCACTTCAGTGAACTAATACAAGATGCCCGCATAGTACAGAATGCCAACACAATATTTGCATTTGAATCGATCCTCCAGCGTGAAGATATAAAAGACGGAAATCGCCGGAATAAACAAAACCATTCCCCATCACACAATACACCAGTGACAAACCGAAATGAACCAAGGCCTAACTATAACACACAACCACAAAACAGATATCCTGACCGCACTAATAACATCAACCAAAATGCATACCAACCAAGATATGACATAAAGTATCAACAAAACAATCGACCATACAACCACAACCAACAATACCATAACCGGCCAAACCAAAAAAACTGGTTCCCATACCCACAAGGCAGATTTCCACAAAATTCAAATAATTATCCCACTAGGAACGGAAA